AACGATGCTAAGAGAGATGATTTGTATAATAAATACAAAGACTAAAAGTCGTATTGTATGCTATCCGCGCTCGCTTATCTCTGCCTAGCATTTAAGGGTTTCGTTTAGACTTACATCCATACCGATTTTGGCAGGTAAGAAAATATTCAGGGGGTCCAGATTCCTGATTTGCTTTACCGATTGGCTTTGGCTGGCCTGATAGCGTGATAAAAACCACCAATGAAAATATTGCATTTTTGCACGTAGCTTTGGTAGTCTCCGTTTATGTATAGCTCGGAATATTATTAACAAAGAGATAAAAAAACTCCACCAAATAAAATATGAAGAAGAAAGTTGGTCCACATAAGCAGTTAATTTCTAGGAGACCACAAGAATCACTCGAAAAAGTGTACATAATGAAGAAATCTCGGATGCACCAAAAGATGATCTCGGAATAGTGAAACCAGATGACCAACTTCAACTGACAGATGCCGTAAATCTTTTAAGTTTTGAAACTTGTAGGAATTAAAAGAAGATATCACGCGTGTGTTAACCGCAAATAATCCCCATGCTCCTAAAAATATCGTCCGGTTCAATTTTAAAGTACACTTTCAACAATTTTTTAACCTATTTCTAGGAAGGTCAATATAAACCCATACCCCAAGTTGAACAGATGGCCGTTCATTTTTTCCTTGAAGGGAATATGATTGATAAGAACAGTGACGAGGCCACTCAGCAGTTGGTAGAGAAGGGTTTACTCGTACTAGATGGCAAGCTTTTATATTTTTATAATTATGTTTGCAGAGGACGAAGAGAATGCCGATGGCTCGGGGGGAAAAGACGGTGAAGGAAAGGTTTATTCTACAAATACTTTCTAATTTTTAGACTGGTGAGGGCGAAAAGAGGAAACCGAAATTTCAACCGCGGCCGCCAAAAAAATTAGCGAACCAGTTTAATTTCTGTGAACATTTTAGCCAGACTTACAGCGAACCTTTTCGGGTATTTGTTTTTTAAATTTTAATGTTAAAAAGGAAAGGGGGACCATGACTGAACCACCAGCACGTGGGTCATATTCAGCTAACGTGACTCAATGGTCCATATACGATGACTATAAGGAGGATTTTGCAAAGAAGGTAACTCGTCGTCCTTAAAATATTTTCTTAGGAAAAGGCAATGGAAAAGAAGCCTGCAAGGGGTGGTAAGAAAGACGTCAAAAAGAAGAAGAAGGCGGTTGCCTCTGAGTCTCAGGTAGGCTTCACTAATTTTAAGTAAAGTACGTAGTTCGATGACATAACAAAATTCTTACAACCGATCAAAACTGTCGAAAGGATGATCAATCAAAATACATTTGATGAAGTTTCACAGGACTTTAAATATTTTGAGGATGCTTCCGATGAATTCAGAGACTCCTTAGGAACACTTTTACCTTTATGGACATTTTCTTATGAAAAGTCTAAAAAATTAACTGTTACGGCCCTCTGTTGGTCGCCGCTGTACTCGGACCTGTTTGCCGTTGGACTTGGCTCATGTAAGTTATCTAAAGATCAAAAATTGTTTCAGTCCCATTAGTTTTGCTTTAATATCAGGGAGATACGTAACTTAAGCGGGATATTTCCTTATATTACTTACCTCCATCTTTGAAGCGTAGGGGTAGTTAAAAATACGAAACATGACCATAAATATAACAAGCTGGTTATCTTTATGCCAGTAACTTTAGAAAAACTTTGTTTAGTATTGGTTGTTCTTCCTAGTTTTGCTTCAAGCAACAGAGGTTATGTTATATGAAAGCTAGTATAAATGCTAAGCCAATTAGAGCATAACTTTTGTGATCCGTAAATATTTGTTTTCAAAAGGTAAAATGCGATATTGGTTTGTGCTCTACTTAATAAGCAAAAGCAAACTGTCATCCAAACGTTCTAAACGTTTTATTTTTAATTCCATGTGTTCTCATTGTATTTTTAAATTTTTCTGAACTTGCATCGTACGGGTCAGACGACTTTTTGAAGCAAGTTCCTGGCATGATTTGCTTCTATTCGCTGAAGAACCCTGGCCATCCGGAGTACATTTTTGAGACGGAATCCGGGGTACTTTGTTTGGATCTTCACAGAGAATATCCATATCTCGTCTGCGTTGGTTTCTACGATGGTTCAGTTGCTGTGTACAAACTAGATCAGCAAAAAAGTGGGCCACTTTACATAAGCTCCGCAAAGGCTGGCAAGCACACTGATCCCGTTTGGCAAGTAAAGTGGCAGGAACGCGATGTACAAAATAATAGAAATTTCTTCTCCATCAGTGCAGACGGTCGAGTTACAAGTTGGACTCTACTAAGGGTTAGTTAGCTCGTGCGTTTTTTCATTCGAGCATCTTGTTTTCAAGTACACCTTTTTTTCAACCTTTTTCATTCGAGTATCTTGCTTTCAAGTGCAACTTTTTCAACCTTTGTCAAATTAGGACACTAAAAACATAGAATTTATCAGAAGTTGACTACGAAAACATAGTTTTTGCGCTGCTTTTACGTCAGTCACACACTCTTTTCCTTATTTTTGGTTAAATATATACTTTATACTCTAGTAAGTTTTTTGCTTAATTGTTGTATTTTCTGCGGACTTATGCCACTTATTTCTTTTAAAATGGCAATTATTATCCTTCATAAAATTAAATAATGCGCTTAATGTGACAATTAAATATCATTCTTCACATAAATCTAGCATTTAGTGTGAAACTTCGTTTTCTGAAAGAATTGTAACACTTGCTTATTTCATATCTTAAAAATTACTTAACGAGTTTCCATATAAAATTGAAGATTTCCACATAAATCTCACCTAAAACTAATTTTTTCAAATCGTTGGATTGATTATGTATAAATATGTAATATAGAGCTCAGAACGTGTGATAACGTGATGCGAATTGCAATTTTATATGCATTTATTTTATCAAATGGTATACGTTTTATTCACCAAAGTTCAAAGCTTTTGTCCTGCCCTACTCAAACTCTCCCCGATTCCATGAATTTAAGTGTTTATACCTACCAAGTAATTCAAAATTACTGTCTTTAGTTACCTTTTTCAATTGCATGATAACTGTTACTGATATAGTGCCCTAGTGACTGAAAGGCTGTTGTCTTGAAGGTTTGGCAGACTTGCTTAATTCAGTTGACCCAACTGCAAAAAATCCGCGGCCTCAGTAACGGTCGAAATCACACAACAAAAGAGTCTTTTTCTCAGCAACGCTCTACCATTGAGCCACGAGTCTCACCGTGAGCCGTGAATTTAATCCCACTTTCGTCGATTTTATCCTCCCAACTTACTGTCCGTATGGAATCCACCGTTACGGAACAGCAACCTGACTGTCCAGGCACGATTTTCAAGCGGGGCCGAGGCCGCGAATTTTTCACAATTAGCTCAACTAAATTAGGCAAATCGGTTAACCCCCCCTAACAATTAAGTGAGCCCGGTTGTCATTCTGGTGGATTCTAGATGATAGTATAGGAAATCCTGCCTGGACAGTCAAGTTTCTGTTCCGTAACGGTGGATTCCATACGGACAGTAAGTTGGGAGGATAAAATCGACGCAAGTGGGCTTAAATTCACGGCTCACAGTGAGCCTCGTAGTTCAATGATAGAGCATTTTCTGAGAAAAAGCCTTCCCTGTCGTGTGGATTCGATTCCCGCTGAGGCCGCTAATTTTTCACAATTAAGTCAACTGAAAGTCTGGTAGCAATGTTTGTATTTTCAATT